TCTGGTAGGAGAAATAAATGGCTATGGTTTTGCCAGCATCTCTCTGAGCCAGCCCCTTTGGAGAGCAGGTGTGTAAATGCGTAGACACATGTGCGTGTGTGTGTAGGATTGCTTCCAGATTAAATGAGCCAACCATCTTCTGGCTTAAATATAAGCCCACATACATATGCCCTTGTCTCTCTGTTTAGGGTGCAGATTCTTAAGATCCCCCAAGCATTTAGGAGGTGGTTGAACTCATAAGCTCTCTATTGGCTCGGCACCTGTGGCTCAAGAGGCTAAGGCGCCAGCCACATACACCTGAGCTGGCGGGTTCAAATCCAGCCCTGGCCCGCCAAACAACAATGATGGCTGCAACCAAAAAAAAAAAAAAAATAGCTGGGCGTTGTGGCGGGTGCCTGTAGTTCCAACTACTTGGGAGGCTGAGGCAAGAGACTCGCTTGAGCCCAGGAGTTGGAGGTTGCTGTGAGCTGTGATGCTACGGCACTCTACCCAGGGTGACAGCTTGAGGCTCTGTCTCAAAAAAAAAAAAAAAGCTCTCTATCCAGGATTCACATTGGAGGGGGGGATGGTGAGAAGTGAGTTTTGCCAGCATGAGGAGACAAACTCCTACTTATTCTGCAAAACCCCAGTCAAGCATTACCCCTTGAGTCTCTTGCAGGCAGAATCAGGGCCTCAGGATACTTTGCTTATCTCTCTGTTATAACAAGGGGCTCATGCATAGTATCACTGCTGTCATCAGCTCCTTGCAGCTCAGGGCCTGTCTCCGCCTGGAGTACCAGGGCCTCAGTCAATATTAGCAATGGTTCTGGTGAAAGAAGAAAGGCAGGGCAGAACAGCAGAGGGGTCTGCCCTTCATAGAGTGGGGTACCCTGGAGATTGAGAGAAACTTGGCCTGTGTCTTCACTCTCTGGTCCCTGCCTTCTGTCCCACATCTTATTTCAGAGGTTGTCCCCCAGGGAAACTCAGTGTGGAAGGGAACTGTAGTCCCAGGAGCCAGTGCACATGGGAGGTGATGTGAGGAGGGGCCTAACAATGACAGGGGAGGAGGGCTAATGCCTTGTGGGGAGTTGATGGGTCACTGGCCCTGTTGGGCAGGTTCTAGGAATTTACTTGTCATTGGTTACACTAGCCACAGAGATGTGACATCTGTCCTGCAACGTGTATCAGTACTTCCCACTGAAACGTTAACCAAATAGACGTCCCTGCTGGCTATAGGACATGGCAGTAAGGATGATCTCAGGCTTGGGTGACCAGAGCACCCTAACCCCAGGCACCTCAGAGAACCCAGACACAGCCCTGGGGCTGGATCAAGGCTGGCCTGAGCGTCTGTCTTTACAGGCCCCATGCCTGGTGACCCCACCTGGTGGGTGAGCTGGCCAGGACATCACTATAGTGTACACAGCCACTCAAGAGGAATCTTGGGACTTCCCTCAGAAGGAGGTTTTAGGCTGGGATCTCAGGTGTGCTGAGGGGCTCTGAGTGGGAGGTCCACCTGAGGCAGACACCTCTTGCTGCAGGCCTGCTGGAGTCTGGTCCTGCTCAGTGGCCACTGTCTGGTCCCCTGAGTCCAGCAAGTTCCTCAGGGGCCAGAGCCCCCTAGAATGAGGCCAGAGGGCAGGGATAGGCAGTTGTGGCCACTCAGGCCACTGTCTGATGCAGGGAACAGGAGAGAGCTGGGGGTCCTTCCAGGTTCCACTGTACCACTTAGGGCTAGCACACATTTCTTATGAACTAGATTGGGTTAAATTTGACTTAATTATCCTTGTTCATGACAAGTGGTTTGTGATGTTAATTTGGAATGCAGGAATTATGTCCCTGACTTGGTAGGAAGAAAATCACAGGGTGTCCACCGAGTTAGGAACTGGATTATTCCTCCATCCCCCACCCCCAGCCACGGTCCCTCCCAAGATGGGGCCAGCCAAGGCAGGGCAGAGACTGCCGCTTCTTCCTACCCCCTCCCTCTTATGGCTTAGATTTTCTTTTTTGGTCTGATGTTTTAAAATTTAAGGGCAAATGTGACCATAGCAGATTTTAGGAACATCCTGATCACTCTGAATCAGTGGCTTGCACACTGGAGACAGGATCAAAATCTTTTTTTTAAAACTGTATTTTGCCAAATTATAAAAATAACACATGATCACTGTTAAAATTGAGGAGGGGGAAGGTCACAAAGAATAAAACAAAATTACCCACAACTCTGCCACCCAGAGTGAAGCCCTGTTAACATCTGTGCCATGTTGTGTCTGGGTGTTGCCAGCTTTGACTTTGTGCCTTGGTTTATAGTTTCAAAGAAGCTCCCTGAGTACCCCTTCCTCCCAGAAGCTGCTGGGAGGAGATGGCTGAGGTGCTGCTGTGGGTGTTACAGAAAAGGGAACCACCAGTGACCTGCATGGCCGTGCCAGCCCTGGGCAGCCAGGTTCTCAATCTTGGCTCCATACCATTAACTAATTTCCCTAAATACACACTCAGGAGTAGATATGATCTCATGGCTTGGGGCTCTGATCTCAGAGACGTTTCAGTAATAAAACACAGCCTCCCAGGAAAATGGGTTCACAATTGCATTTTTCTCTTGATTTTTATTTATTTAACTATAATCAAGCAGTTTTTCCAAAGAAAACTATCTACCCTGGTCTGCCAACCTCACCATCTTGGGTTATCCCTCCCCTCAGCCTGGCTTCAGTTGTGTGGTGTGATCTGGGATTGGGTCCTGCCCTGGGGACAGGTGAGCTGCCAGCTTTGTTGGGCAAGTTGGAAGTGTGGAAGGTAGAGTGGAGAGATGAGCGTGGTGTCTGCACAAGGTTTACTGAACCTGATAGCTGCATTAGGATTATGTAAGAGATGTCTGGTTACTATCGGCTCTCAAATGCTTCAGAAAAAAACAAGTACATGTATGTGGAAGGAGAGGGGAGATTGTACCAAATAGCTACACATGATACTCTGTGCTGTTCTTGCAATGCTTCTTTAAGTTTAAAGAATATTCAGAATATTAATAGACACTGCGAAAGAAAAAAATAGCCTGTGAACTCACCACCCCGCCCTTGAAACCCTCCCAACTCCACCCTGCAGAAGGAACAGAGAGTGGGGATGTTGCAATGGTCGGTCCCCTGATTTCCACTAGAGGCCTGGGCCTCGTATGTACAGACCCCTCATGTCCAATGTTACCTGTTTTTTAGCTTCATACAGATGAAAAAATGGAAGCCACGCCTTGTGTGTTCTGTTGTGATTATGTTTGATTTATCCGTTCTAATGTTGACAGCCCCCTGGGCTGTGTCCAGCCTCTGCCATCATGAATAGCTCCCTGCCTCAGCAATCATGTCAGGGGTGTGCTTCGGAAGGCAGCCCCGCGCTTGCTGAGTTGGGAGTGCAGGTGAACGAGCAAGGATGCTGGGCTTCTGGCAGCACAGCAGGACAGGGTCTGACTCCTTCTGTCCCACGTGGAGGCTCTGCTGGGTCCCTTTGGATTCTTCCCATGGGTGCCAGGCTGCTGAAGCAAGGCAGAGGGGAGCCAGTGAGCATGGCAGGGAGAGATCAGCCTCTGCTGGAGGCTAGAATGCTTGTCCTTGGGGAAAGGAGAAATAGTGGACACTTCCCAGAGGTGTTCCTGTCTGCAGATGTGGCCTTCTTACTCAAGAAAGGCATGTGCTTGTTTGTGAGCATGTCCTGTAACCCTAGACCACCACAGTCATGCCCATAGGAACTGGCCACAGACATGCCTCCATTAGGTTTTCCCTCTTGCAGGTGGACAGTTTCCTCCAAGCATGGGGATCAGATGCTTTGTGCTTCCTGGGGATGTCTGCTAAATGGCAGCTACATGCTTTCCCTGCTGGTAGTGCTACTGGTGTTCTGTAGTGAGGGAAACGTCCCCTGCAGTCTTGGTTGGCATACTATGTGCTCCCTGGGCCCTGCCCACCTTTCTGTGGGGGAGCTCGGTCCTCAGCAGGGGCAGGGGATTGCAGACACCAGTCGCATCCATCCCAGAGGAAGCTGTCATCCGACTCTGAAAACCTACTAGTCTGTCTGCATAGTCCCCCACATGTGGCTGTGCCTCAGCCACGGTCTGCTTTCCACCTTTATGTGAATGAAGACACGTTTTGTTTTTTCCCCTCTGCGCTGTGTTGGGATGTTAGGGTTTTGTGGCAGAGGGCTGTGTTTCTTTGCTGTGCGTTGGTCTGCTTGTGATTATAGCCACATGGAGTCCTGACTTCTGTCAGTGGAATTGTGGGGGGTTTGGTTTTTTACTGTTGCAATCTCTATCAGTTTTTAAAATCCTCCTGGCACCTCTATTTGAAATATAAAATTTCTAGCTGATAGAGATGTCTGCTCTGGAGATGGGGCCCAAATACCTGGTGTCCTGGCATCTCTACACCTATCATTTCCCAGTGCCAGTCCAGAGCCCTGGAAGTGAGAGGGTTGGTTGCCGCACGTGGAGCTCTGAGAGGCTTCTGGCTCCACCACCAATTTGCTCCTCTTGCCCAGGCAAGCCTATGATGTTTTTGACTCTTCCTCCAGCCAGTCAGTTTGAGGGTACACCCTTATCCCCCACCTCAGTCCTGTTCTGACAGCCCCACCTGGCAGGCAGGGAGGTTTTACCAACCCTGCTGCTGCCTCTGAAGAACAGATTTGGCTTCATCAGAAAGCTCCAGAGTATGGAATTAGGACAAATACGTGAAGGATTAAATCAGTTCACTGCTAATACACAGCACTTTCTGTTCCTTGAATCATCTGGAGAGATTCTTAGCCCCTAGTTAGCAGCACTCATGGCTTCCTGTGGGCCTCTTCATACAAACGCCTGTCAGTCTGTCCCTGCCCCAGGCCTGCCACCAATGGCCCAGGGGATGTAACGACAGCATCCCTCAGAGGGCAGTCAGTCACTTGCTGCGGGGTCACTTCCATTCCTTTCTTGGTTGGCAGCCCCTGCACACCCACAAGGGCCTCTTTCAACATGGGTGGGCCATTAGCTATTGGGCCAGGAGGTGACACCTTTCCTTTTCTGTCCCCAGATCACCAGAAACTAGAGAGAGAGGCTCGGATCTGCCGCCTTTTGAAGCATTCCAACATCGGTGAGTGGCCCCTGGGGTGGGGGCAGGTCCCCACACTCTCCCAGACAGCAGCCCTTCCCTCTTTCTATACCAGACTTCCAAGGGGATGCTGAACTTACTTTCCTTCTCTGTTGAAATACCCCGTCTGCAACCCCCGAGGAAGCTCATTCTCTACCACCCCAACCCCACCCCAACTCGGAAGGCTCCATCCTGTTTGATGTGATTCTTGGGGATACACAGAGGTGGGACAGTCCCCTTTGGGATCAGGGTGGGGCTCTGACCAGGTCTGTCCCATCCCACTCTATCTTTACGTCCTCATCTGTGGCATCAGTGACAATGGCTGCAGAGAAAAGTAAATGACACACTCCTCCCCCACAGAGACGGCCCCCAGTGTGTGACTTCCCAGAACACTCAGTGCTGAGCACACACAGGGGCCTAATTACAATAGGAAAGTTTTAAAAGTTTGGAAAACAAAGTCTGATTAGAGACCCTGCCACATGTGGCCTTTGGACTGAGAGCCTCTGACTGCCCCACTTTGCCAGTCCAGGGCTTCTGTAGCTCTTGTCTGTGGAGGAGGGACCACCATCCTAGAGTCAGTTGCCCTGCAGGACCATTTGGATCCCAGAACCAGGGACCTTGGCTGATCTGAGCCTCACTGTCTGGGCACGTAGGTGTTCTCCTAGGTGGCCTAGGCTGACCCTGGTCTCTGGCATTGAGGCTGCTGGTCCTGCCAAGGAGAGGTGGGGTCTAACACATGAGCTTCCTGGCTCTTCCTAACAGCCCTAATGCCTGCCTACATCTGGGAGAGATCAGAGCCAAGACTTTGAGTGCTCACACTCCCAGCAGAGAGTGCAAGCATTTTGCCTGCAGGCTGCCTCCCTGAAGGCCCAAACCAAGTCTGTATTAGGGTAATAAATGCAGTTTGGGGACCTCTGGGGACCACAAACTCTGCAGACCCCTGCAAGTTGGCTCAGATCTCCCTGGCATTACTCTGGCCTTTTGCATTACTCTTGCCCTCCATGGCTTCAGACTGGTCCAGCTGCACAGGCGCCATGGAACACGTGTGGCACATGCATCACTGTGTGCATGAATCTGGCTGCCTGTCTTTCTCTTAATGCTAGTCCCTCTGGTGACCTCTAAGGAGTCCAAGAGCTCAGGCCTTGCACATGTCAGGCGGCAGCCAGGAGATTCCTTGGGGTGGCAGCCACTATCTGCTGCCTCTGGCCTTAGAGGAGCTCAGCATGGAGATTCCTGTACCCTTCCTCCAAAGCTCCGAATAACCTATGCCAGGATGGGGCCCAGTAATCTTTGTGCAAAAGGGCCCTCAGGGGGGTATGAGGCACAGCCATTCAGGAGCCAGGGCCTTCACGTACTACCTGGGCCTGGCTCAGAAAGTCAGAGAATCTTCAGCATCTGGTGTAGGGGGCTGGAGCACCCTCCCTTGTTGTGTTCTACCAACTCCCTTCTGGGGCCCAGGGACCAGCTGCAGCTCTGATCAGGTTCTTAGGGCCTTGGTCTCTTGAGTCCCCACCCAGGGGAGGTACAGCCCCAGAGGAAGGGTGGCTTTGGCAGAGGAGAGCTCTAGCACAGAGCCAGGAAGAGGGAAGAGGCCACATCCCTGAAGCCCTCCCATAAGGTTGTCAAGTGCTGCATGTTAGCGCTAGAACAAGATTTGCTGTCTTCCTCCTAACCGAGGGCTTCTAGATGCCACTCTTTTTTTTAGGCAGAGGCTCACTCTGTTGCCCCAGCTAGAATGCAGTGGCATCATCATAGGTCACAGCAACCCCAATTCTGGGCTCAAATAATCCTCCTGCCTCAGCCTCCTAAGTAGCCGAGACTACAGGTGCCTGCCACCGCACCCAGCCAATTTTTCTATTTTTAGTTATTATTAGACCACTCTTACACAGCTGGTCTCAAATTCCTGAACTCAAGCAATCTACCCTCTTCAGCTTCCCAGAGTGCTGGGATTACAGGAGTGAGCCACTGTGCCTGACCCAGAACAGACTCTTAAGATACGATCCAGGACTTTATTTTTTTGCTACTTCTATATTCTTCTTGCAATGTTGCTTGCTTACTGTGTTTACAAATAGATTTCTGCCAATTCACTTTTTTATTTAGCCCTGTCTATGAAATCATGGGTCTGATGTGGTGGTTAGGTTTTCTTTTAAACCAGTAAAAAGTACATGTAAGTAGGTAACTGCTTATAAAATATTAAAAGTGTTTTATAAGAACACTTATTAAGAGGCGTCCACGCCCCATGCAGACCCTGGTGGCAAGGAGGTGGGACTCCCCCAAGCGAGGCTGAAAGCTTGTATACCTCTGCCCTACCGCCACCTTGCAGTCTGCATGGGGTGGCAGGTGCCTAAGCTCAGGGACAGTCCCACCCTCCAATAGTACAGTCCTGTAGCACGCAGGAGCAGTGAGGTGGCTTTATGGATGAACAGGACACCCTGGATCTCTCCCTTCATGGCCCCTGAGCCCTTCTCTGTTCCCAGGGGAAGATTTCCATGCAGCACGTCCCAGGTAGGGCAGCTCAGAGTGGCCAACTTACTGGGCCCTCACCTGGACTTGTTCAGTGGCCCCCACTAGAAAGGAGTCAGGAGGGGTGAGCTTTACTTTAACTCCAGGGATTTTGTGGAGGGTCCTAGAAGGAAGCTCTTGGTGACTCCTGGGGACCTGCCATATCTTAGGGAGTTCAGAGGAAGCAGGGTGTCAATCACGTCAAGTGGGAGAGTGCCCTTTCTCTTGGGATAAAAGTTAGCCGGGCTTTGTGGGAAGAGGACTATTGATCACAGGGAGTGCCTTAGCTAGTGGTGGGGGGAGGTCCTGTTTGGCCAAGGTCAGTGTTGGGTCCTGGACAGCCGCAGTGAGTGAGAACTGACAGAGGCTTTGGGCTAAGGAACACCGTGCTCTTTGAGGGTAGGGGTGGGTGGGTGCAGTGGAGAGAGGCTAGAGCAGAGAAACAGAGCACTGGTCCTGGGCTGCTGTAGCCCAGGGATCCTTGGGGGGAGGCCTGGGCCTCAGAGGCACTCGGACACAATGAGGCTGGGCCCCTGGGAAAACTAGAGCCAGAGGAGGAAGGGCACTGGCAGCTGGTCAGAAACTAGGACAGCACTGGCGGACGTCACACAGGGGCTGGAGCTGAGTCAGCGATTTGTACCCAAGGGCCAGGGGCCTGGGAAATCGGGTTGGGGGGTGGGTCAAGGAAGGATGTTTTTCACCCTTTCAATGCCTCATTTCTAGTGGCAGGGCAGAGCCAGGCCTCCTGGGCCTGTCTTCCTAGGACCAGAGTAGTAAGGGCTGAGGAGGTATGGTGCAGACTGCCCCCCATCCTGAGTCCACGCCCTGCTCTTCCTCTTGTGAGCTTTGTGACCTTAACCTTAACCTGAACCTTTGTGCTTCAGCTTCCTCATCCATAACTTCTTGGGTGGTTGGGAAGGTTACTTGGATTAACACAGGCAAAGTGCTTAGAGCAGCAATGATGGGTAGGGAGTGCTTGGTGCATGCAGGTTGTCACTGTCCTCGTCATTCTAGCAATGAGCATAGTCGGCGCATGGGAGCGCAGTGTCCAAACTGAGTCATTCCTAAAGAATATCTGCCGCTTAGTACAGGGCACATCTCTAGCTCAAGGGAAAATAGGCCTTGGGTTTGCATGCTTTAAGAGGAACTCACTCACTGTCCCCTCGAGCCTCTGTCCATATGTTTGTGTGTTTGTTCATTCATCACATCCTGACTGGCTCCTGCCCCACACCAGGCAGAGCTTGTGGTGAGATGAAGGCTTAGAACACACAGACCATCACAGGCAGCTGTGCACGTGGTGGCCATGAGGAGGGGAGGGGAGATGGTGCTCCATACGGCTGGACCACACACATTCTAGAATCTGAACTCAGGATGATGCTGTTGGGCAGGTTACCTCTAGGCAGGGGTCCCTGTCTGTCTGCCTGTGCTGACAGCATGCAACTGAGGCACAGATCCTGAGGGCCAAGGGCAGCTCTAGAAGGACCTGGGGAAAACAGTGGGCACATTTTATCCTGGCTTCTCTCCCATGAAAAGCTCCTCAGCAGCCCCTGGCCAGCAGCAGTTGTGCAAGCTGCTCCTGCTATTCTCCTTGAGGTTTGGGAACAGCTGAGGCCCAGGCCAAGACCGAGAGGACCAGGTCTCCCTCTGACAGAAGGAAACATGCAATCAAACTGGTGGCTGAGGCGAAGGGATGGCAGGGTACTGCCTAGAGGCCCACAGATGCCCCCAGTGGCCAGCCAGCCTGCAGGGCTAGAAGCACTCCCCAGGCCCTGCCCTCCTGCCTGAACCCTGGGCCTCTCCACCCCTGTCCTGAGGTCTGCCCTGGGGCTTGTGCAGCTGGCCAGGTGCCTGCACAGGTGCAGAGGTGGGCAGTGGGGTGTGTCCTGGGCTACTGCCAGCACCTCATGGCTTCTCTGTCCTCACAGTGCGTCTCCACGACAGCATCTCCGAGGAGGGCTTCCATTACCTGGTCTTCGATCTGTAAGTTCCAGACCTGGAGCCTCTTGCCCTCACCCACTCCCAGCATTGGCCCAGGGTGGATCCCCTAGCCCCAGGGAACAGTTCTAAGCACTGGGCTGGCCCCACCTGAGTGCACCTCTGCAGCTATGGGTCACCTTGCTCCAACCTACCCGCCTAGCCTCACTTGCCTCTCCTTGCTTGCTTTGCAGCAGGTTTATTGGGTCCCGTGGAGACTGGAGTGCCATTCTGGACCCTCTCTGCCATAACAGAACATGCTGGAGGCAGTGGCAGGGGTGGGGGAGGGGGACCCCAGAGGAACAGTCAGCGGCTTCATTCATCTTCCTTCCCATGGTGCCCTCATCACGCCTGGGCTGGGCTACCACTGGCTGGCATGAGCATGTGTGTGAATGTGAGTGTGAGCCTGAGTGCGTGCACATGTGTGCATGTGTGTGTGCACAGTGGGTATGTGAGTATGTGAGAGCAAGAGTGTGCATATAGGCAGGGTGTGCATCTGTGTGCGTATGCCTTGTGGAAATGTGGGTGAATGAGTTTACACAGGCATGTGCATGCATGATCGTGTTTCCAAGAGTGTGCGTGTGTGCATACATGTGCACAAGTGTGTGTGCACATATGAGTGTTGGCAGGTGTGTGCCTGAGTGTGCATGCGTGTGCGGTAGCTAAGCAAGGAGGCGTCTGGGGCTGCTGCCGCCTCTCACTTCCTGCCGGATTTAGAAGCAGTGATCTCATCTCCTCACTCTTGACAGCTCCTGTTAAGCAGTGCTATATTTAGCTGTCAGTAAGTCAGTGCAGCTCCAGGACCCTGGGCTGGAAAGGGGCCTGTAGGTCTTGGCCTGCCCCTGTGACCCCTAGGTGGCCACACAGCCAGGGAAGCCTGGCCAGTGTACTATTGCTATGGTTACCCCTGGGCCCTCCCCGTGGCTTTGTGAACATGCAGGCCAAGCACAAATAGGATGAGCCTGCATGGGCACTGCCCTCTCAGCTCCTCCTCCCTCACATGACAGATGACCTGGCCCTGGTGCATGCAGGACTCAGGGGCCCTATGTCCATGGGGGCGTCCTCTTGTCAAGAGAGGCTGGGATTATCTCTGCTGGGGCTTGGCCACCACTCAGGTTGCCCTGTGTGCCCCACAAGACACCACATCAAATGGCCAGCCAGGTGACTGAGACTGACACAGGACACAGCCCCCACTGTTTGGTTGAGACTGTGCCCTAGAACATCTCTATCCCATGGTCCTGGGGAGCTGATAGGCTCTCTGCCGTACCTATGTGCCCCAGACCTAACTTCACCAGCCTATTTTCCCAGAAAACAGAGAGACCACTGGGCTAGGGGTGGTCCTTTCTTGAGCCCCTAGTAGCCAACAGATGGTTGGGTGTGTTTCAGGAGCTGAGAAGGGGAGAGAGAATGGTGTGTGTGTGCATGGGTGTGTTCCCATATGAGAGATGCTATGTCTCCTACTGGCCAAGCACATGCTAGGCAGGTATGGGGAGAAGCTCTGCATGCCCTCCTCCTAAACCTCTATGGCTCCTGCACCTTCAGGAGGCCCCGAGGCCCCTTGGCAGTATGTGGGGCTCTGTTGATTCTGGGGAGTTGACAGGTATCCCCATTCTTCATGCCTGAAAATGTCACAGGACTTGAAGACTGAGTCTGGGCATAGAGGGTCTCGCACACACCTGCACTCCCAGAGGAAGGAGACTCCCACATGGGCTATGGCTGTGGCCTAGAATCAGCCGTATAGCCCCTGTGGCTTAAGGAAAAAGGAGCCTGGGGGCAGGTGTGGGGCCTCCAAGCCTATTCATGTGCTCATGGCCCTTTCTGGGCCAGTCCTGAAGTTCCTAAATCCCCCACAGCAACCAACATGGCTGGAGGCACAAACTCCCTGCCCTGAAGCTGTAGACTACAAGCTAGCCTTGGCCCAGGTGCCTGTGACCCAAACTATAGCTTGCTTAGCCTGGAGCACTGGGCCCAGCCTCAGGTAAAGCACTCCTCAGGGGGCTTCTGAGGGCTACAGCCCAGACTTGAGACCTAGAGGCCTTTTGCCACTGTTTTGTGCTTGGATTCAGGGTCTGCAGAGCCTGATCTGTGCTCACGTGTGCTAAGACCTAGACAGTTATTCACTCAGTGCTGCAGCATGCCAGTCCCTCACCAGGCTCTGGGCAAGACCTGCAATTTGATCCCCCTGCTCCATGCACATGGATGCACACAGACACATGCACACGTGTGTGTGTGTGTACACAAACTGGTATATATGTACACAAGGACACACATAAGTATCCATGAGCACATTAATACAGATAAACCAGTATACGTGGACACAAGTGCATACACAGGCACACACACATACAGACATGTGCGTACACATGCACATGTGTGCGCACAGCTGGTACACATTTACAAAGTGCACACAAGCACAGCATGTGCACACACACACAGTAGCACATGTGTATGTACACACATGCACACAGTATAGTATATATGAATCCAGGTGCACACATGGGCACACACATACACATGTACACACATGTGCAACCACAAACAAGTACACGTGACCACAAATATATAAACAGACTTATGTATGCATGTGTTAAAGATACACATGTATATGTGTGTGTGCATAGAAACCAGTATACATAATGTACTACACACATAGGCACACATGCGTGTACACTGTAACATTCCAGTTTACGTGTACCTGTGTGCACACATCCTCACACAGACAGGCCAAGCTCAGGAGCCAGGCCAGATGTCCCCATGAAAGCCCCACCTAGACAGCCTTTTGTTTTCCTGTGGTCCATGCTTATTTGGTTGCAGAGAGGTAACAGCCTATGGGGATCAAGAGGAGAGAGATATGGGTGCTGGTGTGTATTTAGAGCCGATCAGACAACAGAGGCCGAGCCCCTGCCCCTGCCCCAACCCCCAGCCAGGACAGGAAAAGGGAGGAGGAGTGGGAACCCCCAGTTCTTTAATGTCTGGTCTTGGCTCTCCCAGAGAGCCAAGGACTGTTTGGCTTTCCATGCATTCCTTCCTCATCTCACCCTAAGGGTTGGGTCAGTGGGGCCACCGGGGTGCATTCAGCCTGGAGCAAGCCAGGCTAACACTCCACACTCCAAAATGCAAATAGAGAAACCTCAGTACCCAGGGCAGCATGGCCAAGCAACAAGGAGATGAGGAAGAGGGTGTGGGTACCAACAAGGTGCCCTTATGGCCTCACAGGCCTCCCTTCACAGAGGGACACAGGAGGGAGATCCTGGCAGCTAGATGGAGTCTTCTAGCAGACCCGGAGGGCTGACTTGGGTGAGGGGCTTGGGCAGACCCCGAGAGGACTCTGCCTCACTCCCCTGGTTTGTATTGAGCCCTCACCACCTCTTCCATACCCACATTGCTTAGCCCAGGGGACCCTGAGCAGTCTGCACCCTGTCCAGGTTCCCAGAGGCCTTCTAGACAGTGGCTTCTGCTTTTGGGATCTATATTAACCATAAGACCTGACAGCCACTCACTGGCAGGCGGGTGGGGTGGGGGACACAGGGCAGGTGGGTGTATGAACAAAGACACCCACCCCATCCTACCCTGCCCCCCGCCTGTCATCTCCCCCCCCCGGAGATGATACTTTGAGTGCCTCAAGGCCTCAGCCTGACAGGGAAACTAGATCCAGGGAACATATTTTCTGGCCCTTCTGCTCCTGTGTGAGGGCCACAGCTCTTGTCTTGGGAGCAGGTTGAGGAAGGGAGACCAGATCTTCTCATACTTGGAGCTCAAGTGACAAGGTCTGGGTATAACACTGTGGAGCCCTGGCTAAAACTATCTGCTGCCCACTCTGGGCAAGTTACTTAACTCTTTGAAATTAATTCTCTCATCTGAAAACAAAGTAAATTAGTGCCAATGTCATGGAATAGTAAGGACTGAAATGTTCAGTCATTATATATAAGTAAGTATTTGGTAACTGATGGTCCTAAGTTATGACAGTAATAGGATAGAGGTTGTGATGCTGGTGTTGGTGATGGTGATAGTGATGGTAATGGTGGTGGTAGTGATGATGTTAGTGATGAAGGGTGGTAGTGATGATGGTGATGGTGGTAGTGATGGTGATAGTGATGGTGGTGACGATGATGGTGGTGATCATGGTAGCAGTGATGATGGTGGTGATGATGGTGATGATGGTGGTGGAGATGATGGTAGCAGTGATGATGGTGAGATGATGATGGTGGTGGTGGTGGAGATGATGGTAGCAGTGATGATGGTGATATGATGATGATAGTGGTGGTGATGGTAATAGTGATGATGATGGTGGTGATAGTGGTAGTGATGATGGTGATGATGATGGTGGTGGCAATGATGAAGAAGACAGAGTGACAGGGATCTCTAGAATCTGTGACCCCTACTTGCTTTTCCCACAGGGTTACTGGTGGAGAGCTCTTTGAAGACATTGTGGCAAGGGAGTACTATAGCGAGGCTGATGCCAGGTGAGTATGGAGCACCCCCTCCGGCCTATCCCCACTTTCCTTATGCCTTTGCCTGTCCCTCCCTCATCCCTACCCCTGTCCCTTCTAACACATGTCTGTTCCTGTGCAGCGGTGTCCTCTCCCCAGCCCAGGTCAAAGGTCATCTGAGTGGGGGTGTTGGTCTTCCCAACAGTCCCACCTGGCCCTGCTGAGAGCTAAGGGCAGCTTGTGTGTTCTTGGCTCCCACTGGGGGAGTGGCCCCAGCCTATACCACTTTCCCTAGGGTTATAACCGGCTGCAGAGGGGATGGCTGGTGGAGAGGAGAAGCAGACATGGTGTGATCACAGGTTGCCATGGCCCATGAAGGGCGCCCCTTGGCTAACCTCCCTCATGGAGATAAGCAATTCCCAAATGCCTTTTCCCTTCTAAGATTTCCTCACAGGGCTACCTTGGGCCCTACTCAGCTTGGGTATAAAGTGAAGGGAAGTGGGCAGCTTGTCCTGGTGGCACCTGCTGGGAAAGGGGCCACTGGCTCTCCTCCTGGGGCCTGCATCATTGCTCAGCCACACCCCAGGGCAGTGGGCATGGAACTGGGTGAAACCTCAGCACAGGGACTAAAGGCCATCTTTTCTATGTGCCCAAGGCCCTGTTCACAGGGCTCAGCCCTGGCCTCTAGGCACCCTAGTGTGAGGATGAGATGTGGAGACCCAGGTTCCATCTGGGCAAGGATTCCTGTAAACCTCAGGGCAACCCTTCATCAGGGCCAGCTTTACCAAGAAGATGAAGAGGGACAGTGGTCTCAGAGATGACCATTTGTGGCATGGCTGCTGGAGGCCAGATTGAGGCATCGCAGATGTCATCTGTGGAGGTGACAGGGCTCCTGTCCTGCAAGGATAGTCATTAGTGGCCTGTTGTGACCCAGGCCAGATACCACCCTGACCTATGACAGAACTCACAACAGTGAATTTCACCTCAGGGACAGCTAAAGGCATCACTCTGTCTGCCAACCAGCTATGCCCACACCTGCTCTGCCCTAGAGAGGTGCATTTAAAAAGAAAAAATGGCCCCTGAAGGAAGTGAGTTATGGATGATTTTACACTTTTTATCTTCTTTGTCTATTTCAGAACTGTTCTTTAATAAGTATGGATTACTTGTCTAATCAAGAAAAATGAATATTATTTTTTAAAATTAGCAAAAATAACTTGATGTGACTTGCTTCTGTACTAGCAGGCAACCTTGCCCATTGCAACAGGCCATGTCCTTGTGTGGGCGGCATGTGCAGTTTGGTGCAGTGGCCTCCCCAGCAGCCACTGGGGACAGGCACAGGTCTTGGGACCCTCCTTTTTGCCCCAGATTTTCAAGACATTCAGGGGCCCTGAATTCTTTTCTTAAGCTCCTCAAGGAAGGACTATGTGTTTTACAAACAGTCTGGGAGTATCCTGTCCCCTTGAACGAGGCTAGGTTTTTCTTCGTATTCTACTTGCAAGTAAAGTGGAGAGTGGAACAGAGACACTTCTTACCTGAAATGCTGGAGTGGGAGTTGGCACAGGGCATGTTGATGGTGGCCTGCTGGGCAGGTAGACTAGAAGGTCCTCGTGCCCCTCCAAGGTAGGGCCCTGGGGTGGGCTGAGTGCCCTGAGTGGCTGATAGAGGCATAGGTGAGGCATGTGAGGCCCCAGAACCTCCCAGCCACAGACAGGACCCCATGGCCCAGGGCCCAGGCAATACCTGGACTGAACTCCCCTGGGCACTGCCGCAGGGCCTGCTATGCCCCTGCCCCTCTCATGACCCCCACCCATAGCCCTTCTGTGCCCCACCCCTACCAACTCCTGCTCCACCCTGGCCCCCAGTGACCTACCCTCTCTGATGCTCAATGTATACCTCCTTTTCAGTGTCCTTCAACCCTGGGAGTCCCCTCTGCTCCTAGGGATTCTTCCTGGCCTTCTGTAGGGTTTAGGGGTCCTTTTGTTCATCATATATCAGGAAGAGGATGCACAGGGGACCCACACTACCTATTGTCCTCCAATCGGGAGGTAGCTGCTTACAAGTCAGCCAACTCCAAATGCCATGCCCCCACAGCCCCAGATTCATCACACCATCCAGTTTCCTTTCCAGAGCTTCAGCCACTCTGCCCAGTCCACAGGTGCTGCCTCTACTTCTCTTTGTTGCTGTTTCTTTCTTTCTTTCTTACTTGTTCTCTACTCAGTCTACATCCACAGTGGACACACACAGTGTATCCTATCTGCCTGGACCACAACCTTTTGCTGTAGGACAGGGGACTGAGAGCTGGCCTGGCCATGGGGTCCCCTGCCTAGAACTCAGGCAGAGAAACTCAGAAGGTGCTTCAGCTGTTTGGCTCCGAGGAAACTTTGCCAGAGCAAAGTGTAGAGTGCTGGGAGGGAAGGGTCCTCTGTGCCTTTACCAGCTACCTCCTTGCCTTACTCTGATGGCAGGCATCCCAACTTCTGCTCAGGACAATCCCGATATGGAGGCCACTGCTGAGTGTATGGGGTCCCTTGGAACTGGCTCAGATGATATGAGGGTTCTGGGCCAGGGTTTCTCCCTGCCCTACCTCCACACCCCTAGTTTTCTCTTACAAACTCTGCTACCTCTCTTAGGGGTTTAGGCCTCAAATGGAGCCAGACTGTGAAGAGGGAGAACAGACAGCCTGAGTTCCCTAGGACTCAAGAAACAAGACAGAAATTGTTTTTTGGAACTCTTTCTAACCAACAAGCCTGATAATCCTCCTTGGAGGAAGCAGGATTTTTATTTTGGAGTTTATGGGAAAACTGAGGAGTGTCCATGTCTTTTTTCTAAACAGAAGAAGCAGAGTTCAAATCATTTAAAACCTGCTTTTTAGAAACCTTAAGAAGCAGTATGGCTGGCTCGGAGCCTGTGGCTCAAGCGGCTAAGGTGCCAAGCTGGCGGGTTCAAATCCAGCCTGGGCCTGCCAAACAATGACAGCTGCAACCAAAAAATAGCCAGGTGTTGTGGTGGGTGCCTGTAGTCCCAGCTACTTGAGAAGAATTGCTTAAGCCCAGGAGTTGGAGGTTGCTGTGAGCTGTGATGCCACAGTGCTCTACCCAGGGCGACAGCTTTAGGCTCTGTCTCAAAAAAAAAAAAAAGCAATATGGCTGATGAAAGATGGCCAAAGGAACCCTGTAAGATGCTCACTGTCCTCAGGGGGAGGACACCAGAGCCCAGACTGAGAATAACATCCAGAATGCTGCTTGTGAACAATTCTGACCACAAAAGGCCCTGCCTGAAGAAGATGGTATGGTGTTGATGGGTGGGGGCAGGCAGGACTGTGTCTAGTGTGTGGGCTAAGTCCTCCCAGGGCCATTTTCTCAGATTCGAGGCCAGGACAAGAGCAATGTGAGGAGAGGGCAGAGGCTGCTCTTAGGCTGGATAGATGTCCCATGCCCCTGCAAGCAGCATTGTTGGCTCAGCCAACAGTATAGTCCAGGCAAGGGTTCTCTTGGTGCTGAGCTGCCTCATTCATGCACAAATGTGTGCAGTGCCTGGAATCCTCATGACAGTGGCTGAGCAGGGGAAGGACTTGATTTCAGCACCATGTGCCAAGTCCCTGTGAGACCCTTGTGGACACCATAGAGAAGTATAGAATAGATGCTGGCTCAGCAATCAACATGGCTCTGGCATTGGTTTGGGGCCCTGCACTGCCAGCAGGGGACACCAAAGAGGACTGGGCATGCTGACCACAGATTTAGGGAGGGACAACAGCTAGGAGGAGGGAGGACACAGGCATGACCAGAGCTACAGCCAGGACCCGCCATGCTATCATTAAGTCTGCAACTGGAGGAAGTTTAAGGAGGAAGGCGCCAACTCCTACCCTCAGCATTAGACTGTGGGTGTGCACGGTACAGGCCAAGCCCCTGTTGGTGGTGTCCAAGGAGGAGGCACTTATTGATGACCGCTGGCTCCACACAAATCTCTGCATGGGCAGAGCACCCGAGGGCAGAGGAAAGGCCAGTCTGCAGGGCTGTGACAGACTACAGGGAGAAGCTGGAGGAAAGGGTGCCATGGTTGGGGCAGGAGGGGCCCGAGATCTACTCTCCCTCCCAGGACAAACCAGGGCTCAGAGTGACCACATAGGATCTGGCCACCAATACTACAAAGCAGTGCGTGAAGGGGCTGGTTGGCCCCTGAGAGGGTCACCCTGAGCTCCTCTGCACTCTGCAGTATCAGAGGAGGATGTCTGACCCCATGGCCTCAGCCCTGGATTCCTACCCTGGCCCATGAGTCCACTCACTGGAGTAAGGCCCCGCCACTGGCTTGCTGTCGGTACAGCAGGCTAGGCAGCAGCAGGGGCTAAGTACTATCCAAAGTATTAAGGACTGGGTTCTCAGGCACATGGAGATGGGACTCCCATGCAGATGAGGGCTCCATGGAAAGTGGATGTTTGTCACAGTGGCCTTATAGGCTAACTACAGGGACATGGCCCCCATCCAGTGGCAAGAGTAGAAGGGAAGTCTGGAGGGAAAATCCAGGCAAAATAAAGGGAGCAATTTTCCTCTAAGGGTCAGGAGACCTCAGAGCATGGGGTAGGGGGGATAGGATTGTGCTTCCTGTCCTTTGTGACATTGAAGGGAGCCATCAAGAGGCTCCCACAGGTTTGGGCCCAGCTCCTTCAGAACACCGCAGACCTCAGGAATTTATCTTCCCCTTAGATTCTGAGGGCTGGGTGTCCTTGGAGTGGAAACTCAGATTCACCTTTTGATGCAGTGGCTGACACTGTCCAGATGTGGCCAGGAGGGGCAGGAGCTATATGAGGAAGGGGTCTGGACTCCCATTCCTTCTCATGGTTTGCCATCAGGAAAACAAGACCCACCCATCCTGCTGACCCTCGGTCACCCCACTGTAACCTCTGCCCTGCCTGGGGTGTCATGACTGAGATACCAACAGATGGGCTTCAGGCAGCCATGGCAAATGTCTCCAGCCCAGCAGGGCAGCCTTTGTGGTAGCTGCTGTGTCCCCAAGTAGGGGGCACCTAGGAGGAGGCAGGCACCATCCACAGGGTCTCAGTGTGCAGGGGTGGTGGCCTGTATCTTTTGTGCTCCAGGATAGGTGTCAGGGAGGTGGCCTAGGGGCAGCTTGGGCTTCTCCTTTTAGCCAGTCCTGTCCTAGAAGAGCCCTGGGACTTATATCCTCAGCCCTCCCTGACTACAGGAAGGTTGAAAGGGAAGCTCTCTATGCTTGGGGCTGCCCCTTGCCAGGATTGCTCCCCTTGCACACAGGACCTCCGCCCAGCCCCTCAGGCCCATAGGAGCTGAGCTAGGCACCCCCAGTGCTGTGAGCCACCCACCATGGCCACCACCAGCCAGCACGGAGCTCAGATTCACATTTGTCCAATGTACAGTAACTAACACTCATACACGCATGTCCTTAGTGCTGCAGAGTGGAGAGGACCACACTCCAGGGCACCCCGCCCATCCCCACAGCCTGTCTCGGCCTCGGTTTCCCTCCTTTTTGCCTGCCTCTCACCATAACCTGCCTTGCAGGGAATAGGCCCAGCCTGGCCTAAGGGTGGGCAGCTGAGGGTCAGCTTGGCCAATATGAGCCTGGGGACAGCTATTTCCCTGAAAGTCACCTCCATGGGCCTGGCCTGAGAGAGGCGGGCCCAGAGTGGAAGGCAGAGCCAGAGCCAGAGCCAGGCTTGCTGGCTGAGGGGGCGCAGAAGGAGCCCCATAGGCCCCTCCTAGTCAGCCACTTCTCTCCCCTTGATTCCCTGTATCCCCCAGGACACCAGGCTGGAGATGCCCCAGTGCCACACAGCACCTGCCCCCAGCACCTCCTCTTGCTGCTCCCTTCCCCAGCCCCACCCCTGGGCTACATGCACTAACCCACCTGCTGTTTGCCGCAGTCACTGCATCCAGCAGATCCTGGAGGCTGTTCTTCATTGTCACCAAATGGGGGTCGTCCACAGAGACCTCAAGGTGAGTCCCCACCCCATGCTGTGCCAGGTGTCTGTTGTCCATACTTGCATGCAGTGTACAAGAAGGTGTGAGAGGTTGGGCAGTGCACAGTATCACAGCACACTGGGGAGGTGTATATACATGGTTCCGTGCATGTGCATATGTGGATATATGTGTGTGCATGTATGTGGCAACATGCACGGAGGCTTGTGTGCACATATGTGTGCACATACATGTGTGCTTGTATGGAGACATTGTGTGTATGAGAAGGCACATGTAGGATACATGCTTGTGGTGTGCATACATGTACATGTATGTGTGGGTGTGCGCATATGTGCATACATGAAGGGATGCATGCATGTGTCTGCATGAGAGGTCATTTGTGTGTGTGTGCCTGTATGTGTACATGTGGGTATACATGTGTGTGCACACATGTATATGTGGGGGAACATGTGTGCATGTGGCTGTGTGTGCATACTGCAGGTATGTACATGTGCATGCTTGTGCTCATGTGGGGGGTGTCCACACACCTCTCTCCCAAAGCCTCCAGGCCTCCAGGAGAAGGTCTTAAGAAATCAGCCTTTTAGCAAATGTCTACTCAGAGTCTGACTTTCTGAACTCCCTCCAAGACTTGGCCCTGGCAGGTGGGGACACACGTGACAAAGGGCTGATGCCTCGGGGAACAGGATGGTGAGAGCAGGCCTTGCCCAGCTCTGCCAAGTCCTCCAGCCCTTTCTCCAAGTCTCTGCTGCCCACTGCTTAGCTCTGGGCAAAATTGCTCCAGGCTCTGTTCAAAAGGTCTGTTGTCCCCCAGGGTACAGGTGGCCACAACCTCTCAGAAGCTTCCCTTCCTCTTGCTTCTCCCTCTGTCCCTCCTTTTCCTTCCTTTTACTCTCCTCTCCTCCCTCAGCCCCACCTTCTCCAAGGCTTGGCTCAGCCCATTGCTTCTCTCCAGCCTGGCGGGGAGTGTGACTCTGAGCCTGTGCCCTGATGGCATTTAAGACCAACCTTCCCATGGGAGCCACTCCCTTCCTTGAGCCCTTGATAAGGGGCTGATCATTGCAATTGCTCTGGGAATGATATCAGGACAAGAGCAGATCCAAGACCTTCTATGCCCTTCACAGGTCCCTGCCCCTGCCCCATCCCTCAAGTCTGCATATCCCAGTGGTCCTGCTCTCTGTCTTGTCTGACCGACCTCAGTCAGGGGCTTATGGGAGGAGGAGCCCACAGGAGCTTCTATCAGGGTTCTCCTGTGAGGGGACATGGGTACTTTGTTTCCAGACCCTACAATTGACCTTAATTAACTTTGAGGCCAAGGCATAGGAGTAGAGGTCAATGCTGTCTCCCCATTCTGAAGACCAACAGAATTCTTGCTGTGGTCTCACTCTTCCTGGTGAGGGAGACAGAATGTACCTCCTCTCCTAGACAGAAATCCACTGTCTGGATTGAGACCAACTGGAAAGGGCATCATGGTGGGTTTACTCTCACCCCCTTCGGGCAGGGCAGAGGGCAATCAATACCCTCCCGGGGGCTGTGAAGGAATCAGGGTAGAGGCTGTAGGTGGGGACATCACTGCATGGCCTGGCAGGATGGTCCTGGCCTCCTAGCTCCCTCCAGGGGCCCCTAGGCCTTTGCACCTGGTGTTTCCTGGGGCTTGGGTTCTCCTAATGCTCTTTCCTCTCCTCAGGACAAAATGCGGGTGAGTTTCCTCCAAGGAGGGGCACCTGCCATGAGTCTGCTGTGTGCTGTGCCCTAGCCCACAGGCCCTGCCCTGCTCTACTCAGGATTCTCCATGCATATGTGCAGGGAGTGCTAGGCCCTGCCGCACTCACAGGGGCAAAATCAAGGAGCCTCTGTGCTCAGCAGGCAGGGATGCCTGTGTCCCAACCTGCCACTTGAGGAGATGGAGAGGTTGAGTTGGGGGACAGAGCCCCCCCCAGCACTGCCTAGAAGCCACAGGGTGTCAACCCCACCAGCTCAGCAGGGCAAGGCTGGAGCCCCTGAGGGAGCTCTGGGCCTCTGCCGTGTGGGGGGCTTGCAGCTCAGGGGAATAGGAATCTGTCCAAGAGGGTTGCTGTTCTCATTGATTCTAAGGGCCACTTTTGCACATTTTAAAATCTCTGAGATTCACACCCAGTGTTTAAAAACATGTTGAGTGGCAGTGTTTTGTCCTTCTCAGTGGCAGCTGGAGCCACAGTGTTGATCCCAGCAGTGGTTGGCAGAGGGGATGAAGCGCCAGGATCCCATGGCACTTAATAAAGGGAAGGGCAGCCTGGGAGCCTGGTCAAGGGGACCTGAGGTCCCCATGGAGCCCCCTGCTGGCCGAGGACTAGGAAGGCTGTTAGCCGAAAACTCTGTAGGGCACTGAACTCAGCAGCTGGCAGGTAGTGAGGCTGCAGGGATAGATCAGGCCCTCACAGGTTGGTCCCAGGAGTTGCACTACTCTTGGGAGCCCTTTAGGCCCTCAGCGCCTCATGTTGCCAGTTGAGGGGACAGCAGCCTCCTTGACCTTGCTGCAGGATAGGGAACACATGTCTATCCAGCCTAAGCAAGGGTGCTCACTGCTCCCCAAGGGAGGATCTGAATAGCCTTCCTTACCTGGGTGGTGGAGCCCAGGGTGGTGGAGCCCTGGGCTTGGGTGCTGGAGCCCACCAGAGTTGGGAGACGTTGGTAGGTGACTGTGCCTGGCAGGTCTGAGGCTGCCCCAGGTGCCGAGGTGCTTTGCCCTTTAGTGGTCACCATCCCAGCAGGAAGTACCTGGGCCTCTCAGCAAGCAGCTTTCCTATCCTGTCTTGGAGGAGACAGAGCAAGGAGGGGAGGGAGGGCCACTGCAGCCCTGCTGCCAAGTGGAGCCCCGGGGTACAGGCTGTGGGAAGCATAGAGTTTGCTTGTAAGAGTGAGCTCAAGGTTTTGGCCTGAGTGGCCCCCAGACTCCTGTTAAGGGAGATCTGAGCTCTGGCTAAGGGGCTATTGTCCCTGTCCCCAGGGTAGGTGCACTGTGGAGTACAGGCCTAAGAGTGGACTTAGCCAGTGAACACCACAGGGCAGGAGGGTCAGATATGTGTACCTACCTCCTGCAAATTGTTGTCACCTCTGTTGTGTTCCCCCATTCCCTCCTGTAATACACCCCAGTGTGAACAACTCACCCTCATGCCTATCACCTCCCCGCAGCCTGAGAACCTACTCTTGGCCAGCAAGTGCAAAGGGGCTGCAGTGAAGCTGGCGGACTTTGGTTTGGCTATCGAGGTGCAGGGGGACCAGCAGGCGTGGTTTGGTGAGTGGCTGGGACAGAGGGTGTCGACTGGTAGGTGGAGGGGCAGGGAGGTGCTGGTGGCCCCTCATGGCCCCTTGCCCCTCTCACTAGGATTTGCTGGTACACCGGGCTACTTGTCTCCTGAGGTCCTTCGCAAAGAGGCATATGGCAAGCCTGTGGACATCTGGGCATGTGGTGAGGCCTGGCCCGGGATGGGGTGGGACCTCAAGTGTTTTGGGCCTACTACCTCTATCCTAGACTGTGCAAGTGACCGGCACATCTTGCCCTGAACCAGGTTTCACTGTGACAGACCTGCCCTTGAGCTAACTTGGCAGGATCTATGCACAGCCTGGAGTCCCCTCCCCACCCAGAGTAGAATTGCTGACATGACACTGGACCCATCACCCCATGTCCACCATTACTCAGCAGAAGGAGCAAATGGGTGAACTGGAGTGGAGAGGTTGAGGCTGTCAGGTCACTTGGCAAGGCCACCTCCTGGGAAAGAGGTTCCCTCCCACAGAGGCAGAGAGCACCAGAGTGGACTGGCCTTGGGCAGGGTGGTGGGGGGGCTGGTCGTACCATTCTGCCCATGAGTCTCCAGCACAGGGCAGGGGGAAAAAGAATGCTGAGGACCCCTGTACCCTCACAAGGCTGTGGGAGCTGGGTGCTGGTGCACAGGGCATGGGCTCTGTGGATGGTGGTGCCCTGCACGTGGGTACGGGGCTCATGGGCTCCATCCACAGGGGTGATCCTGTACATCCTGCTTGTGGGCTATCCACCCTTCTGGGATGAGGACCAGCACAAGTTATATCAGCAGATCAAGGCTGGTGCCTATGACGTAAGTGCTCCTGAACCCCTGCTCTGACCTGCTCCCTGCCCCTGGCTCTGGCCAGCTGGGCACAGCCTGGGAAGAGGCTGCGAGATGGGTGAAGCCACCTGTGGCCAAACCCACAGATTCTTGGATAAGGGTGAAACCCCTTGGAGAATCCTGGCCCTGCCTGGGGAGGGGGTTCAGACTCAGCCTGTGCCCTGTCTCCTTCTGCAGTTTCCATCCCCTGAGTGGGACACTGTCACTCCAGAAGCCAAAAACCTCATCAATCAGATGCTGACCATCAACCCTGCCAAACGCATCACAGCCCACGAGGCCCTGAAGCACCCGTGGGTCTGCGTGAGTTGTCCTTGGTGCCCACAGCAGGGAGAAGCTCCCAGTGGAGATAGCTTCAGACCTCTCCCGTGATGAGGGCCCTGGGAGGGCCATAGGGTCCTATTCCTCACATACAATAGTCCCCTGGGTCTCCTCCATGTTACTCATGGCCTCTGACTTGGGACATGCTGATAGGTTTGTGAGGTTGGGCACTCAGAGAGTGTTGGAGGGTAAACCAGTCTTCTCCCTTCTGACCTCAGTCCTATCTGTGAGGGATAGAGCAAGCAAGGCCAGCAAGGGGATAAGGCTTAAAATTGTAGGCAAGTGGGGACAGGTGGCCTTTTGCTGCAGTGGTGGCTGGTGGCTCTTGGCATATGGGAGATCTGGGGTGCTGTGAGCCCTGCTGCCCTGGCCTCTCCTGACCCCCTGGGCTTCTAGCTGCCTTCTGACCTCCCCTCTCCCTGCAGCAACGCTCCACAGTAGCCTCCATGATGCACAGACAAGAGACAGTGGAATGTCTGAAAAAGTTCAATGCCCGGAGGAAGCTCAAGGTGAGGCACTGTCCCCTATACCCCCCCATGGCACCCTATGCTAAAGAGAAGGGGACCTGGGGGGATCCTAGCAGGCCCAGAAGTTGCTCCTTCCCCCAGGACTGTGGGTGTTGGCAAATTCCAGACCAGATGTGACAGGTGAACTCAGTCCAAAAATGCCCTGCACCTCTAGACCCAGCACCTGCCCACGGTGCTCCCCACAGATGCCACACTTGGGCTCTGCAGGCAGAACACACCCTCTAGCAGTCATGCCCTCTTTAGTATGAGTGGGTCCAAAAGCTTCTGACCCAGAGCAAGTTTGATAAGGAGAACAGAGTCATGCACTGGTCTTGGATGGGCTAAGGAGGTTGGAGAGGGCACAAGTGGGCATGAGTAGCATGCCTGACCCACCTGCTGGCCAAAACTGGTCCTAACAGTCCTGAGATGGTCATCTCCCTTGGCTGCCTGGTGCCAAGGGAGAGACCCAGGCCTGAGCCCAGGGACAGTAGCCTGGTAGCTTTGGGGTAGTCTCTAAGCTGTTCTCCCCAAAGTTCCAAGGATAGCTTCTACTGCTCTGATCCTGTCAGGAAAAGGAAGAACCATCAGGGAGCCAGACCCCTGAGGAGCTGCCCTGGTAACCTGTGGTCCCCAGCAATCTCTGAAGCTCAGGGGGTCTTCGAAGCTGGTTTAGGGTCCAGGATGTGTTTGAATTCTGGAAATAGATGTCTGTCTTGGGACAAACTGCTGGGTTCCTGAAACTCTTACCTTTTGGGAAGGCTGTGATCACATCCTGCCAGACGTTTGTGAGGCTAAGGGGGATGATCTTCTGGCCAGAAGCCAACAGGGTGCACTGACAGGACTACCCTGGCTTTATCTGTGTCTCTCCCCAGGGGGCCATCCTCACCACCATGCTGGCCACCCGGAATTTCTCAGGTGAGACTCTTCTCTAGGCAGACTCACTGCCCCTGCCCTGTGGTGGTGTGGGAAGGCTCCTTTCTCACAGCCCCATGGCCCCTGGCCTCTGCTGCCAGCCTGCACCTGGCCTCTGCCCCAGCTTCGAAACCCCTCCTGCCCACCTGGCCCTGCCAGGCTCTCTCCTTGGATGACTGTCCAAGGTCCATCCCCTCCCCTACCCTGTCACTTTTGTGCCAGGTCTGTGTCCCCTTCCTCTACACAAGTGTCTTTGCTGCCTACTTCTGGAGCACAGTGCCGCATGTGTCTGTCCAGGCGTCTGTTGGGCATCTCTGTGGCCTCCTTGTTGTTTTGAGCACTCTGAATACCATGTTGTGTGGGGGGCAGCAGGCGGAGGGGACTCGGGTGATACAGTAGGCTCTGTGGACCTCCTTCTGAATTCTGGACAAGCTGTGGCTGCCTGTCTCAGTCACTCAGGGTGGATGACGGGAAAATGAGGCCTCCAGGGGGTCTGTTAGAGACCCCCAAGGCCCAGGGCACTGGCAGGCCCACCTGGGGATGTGTTAGCCCCAGAGTGGAGCCAGCGACCCAGACCTGGACGAGCTGTGCCTGTGGCTTCTCCGTCGTTGATACTCAGTGTGCGAGCGTCTGTGATCCGTCTCTCGTTGTCCGTTTGCATCTGGCACCCCTCCCTGCCCCAATCCTGTTACTTTTGCTGTGATGCTGTACTGCCGGGAATGGGTGCATACAATCACACCAACACTAATAGGACTGTCGTGTCTGTTGTGAGCCCACCATGCCCCAGAGGGCATGAGAAGCCCCCGCTGGGGTTTTCTAAGGAGAAAGGAGGCAAACGCTTTTCGGTGTCGATCAGCCCAATCTTGTTTTCACTCACTTGAGAAAAGGATTCTGGAACCATCGTACACCTAAACTTTAACTCTAATCTTCTCTGCTTCCTTTGTCTCTTTTCTTCCCTTACCTTGCCCACCCCCTCGTCTGTGTCCGCCCACCCCTCCCTCCCCCTCGTCTCTAACCTGGTGCTAACAGTGGGCAGACAGACCACCGCTCCGGCCACAATGTCCACCGCGGCCTCCGGCACCACCATGGGGCTGGTGGAACAAGGTAGATGTGTCTTGACCAGCCTCCCACCCGCTCCCGCCTGTCCCTCCTGCCAGCATGCAGCCCCCTGCTGCACGCAGCCGCTGGCCAGGCCCCAGAGCCACCCCAGAGGCCAGCAGGCCCCTGGGAGCCCCTGCTCCCACTGTGGTCATAATCCCAGCAGAGCCTACTTCGAGGGCAAAGAGATAGCCCCTAGACTCCTCATCTGTAAGAGGAGGGGCTGGGCTTAGGTGACCCCTAGGCCATGCCAAGTCACCTGGTCCTAGCCGCTGAAGTCTGGGGATCTGGAGACTCCTGATTCAGAATGGCCTTGACCCCACAGGGAGCCACTAGGCCTGCTACTGGGGTCTGACTCCTGAAAGGAGAGCCTTGGGGAGCAGGGCCAGAGAGGCAGAGGCATGACCCCAGGAGAGCCTGTGGGGCTCAAGGTCAGTCCCTTCTGCTGGGCGATCCACACCCTGCCCCTAAGGGGCCTGCACGGAGCTGGTGGTCTGTGCTGCCAAGTCCCACACTTTCATGTCTGTGCTGAGAACTCCCCGCAGGACAGGGTGCTCTAGAGCCAGGGTCTCTGGGCACCCTTTGGCAGCTTTAAAGGCTTCATCTTAGGTTCTTTCTACAAGATTCTCCTCACCTGACCCCAAGCACCAGGAAGGGAGAAGGCTGGCTCTGCCACCCTGCTCCTCCAGTGGGCCTGGGTCCCCCCAGCAGGACCCAGAGGCAGAGCCTAGAGGCCCAGGTCATCTCCTGCCTGCCTGCCAGCTTGTGACCATGGGCAGAACCTGTGAGAGCTGGGTGACCCTGGACCTCCTTGTAGGTTCCACAGCTAAGGGCTGGCAAGAATTTAGGCTTAGCTGGCCTCAGCAGGCCACTGAGCATACAGAGCCCTCCTGGGTCCCCCTTGAGCCAAGATTCAGTTTCCTGTCATGCCTCCAGCACTGGCAGGGAAGAAGGCTTTAGAGTGCTGAGTACTGCCCTCCAGAGGCCCACCCATCCCAGCTCCCACTAACAACGCCAGCGGGTAAGCTGTGCAGCCTGCCTGATCAGAGAACCCTCCTCCCGGGAGGTTCAGGCTGCCCTTGGTGAGGGGCGTGTGTTCTCCCCACATGAGCCTGTGGACCTAACCAGCAGCAACACCAGGGAGGGTAGTTCTGAGTCTGCTTCATTCGACAGGCCTTTCTGGGCACATGTGGCAGGTGCTGACATTAGAAAAGGACGAGGCTAGTTGCTTCTGGGGAGGCCCTACTGCCCAGGGAACAGTGCCAGTAGACAGCCGCGTTTGCGCCGCCCTCTGCCCGGGGCTCCCGCTGCAATGCCCGGCTGCCTGCAAGTGAACGTGGGGTGCATGAGCCCATGCATGTGTGGCTCTGCCCTGGGCGCCAAGGGCCACTTTGTCTTTCGGGGGGTTGGTCAGTGCATGTGGACAGAGCCCAGCATGGCTGTCCAGTGTGACCAGCAAGGGGGTGAGACAGAGGCAGGACTGAGGGCCCACCTGCCCTGCTAGCTCAGCTGTACTCCACAAACATACAGCAGGATCTCACTTCTCCAGGGATGATGGCTGAGCCTGGCACTATTGGTTGGACCTCCTGTGTGGCAGAGCCCCCTTGGTCAGCAGGGAGACCCTGGCTGTGTGAGCATGCTGCAGTTTGGCCAGGGTTTGTCCTGCACTGAGCGGGCATAAGCGCAAAGGAGACCCGCACTGGCCAGCTACAGGGTGAAGCAGTCACCCCAGTGAGAGACTCAGGGCCTTTCCAAGGTGGGGGGCAGAGGGTCTCCTCCTTGTTCTCCAGAGGCCTGGGAGCCCCTCGCCCAGGTGTGTGACATGCCTGTGGCTGCCTGGTCCAGCCTTGACCCTTGTTACACCTAATAGATACTTTTAACTTGAGATAGCAAGGGAGATGTGCCTGTGCCTTTGAACACTGATGTAAGTGGAAGCGGACAGGATTCTGGCCACAGTGAATCTGGAGTTAGTCCAGGACAGTAGATATGAAGTCCAGGAAATGAGTGGCCCAAGAAACTCATGGCCAGGAGCTATGTAGTTGTCCCATGGGGTCCACATGGCACCCAAGATGTGTAGATGTGGTTGTTTACAAAAGGGGTTCACTAGTAGGGATGTTTAGGGAACTGATTAAAAGCAGTGGCCTGAGTCAGCAGAGTGGTTAGTTCATATGGGGTATTTCCCACCCACTTGACTATGAACTTCTGTCCTTTTCTCCCCCACTGATACTGTTAACATCTCCAGCAGCACAGTTTGGAAACGTGAGCTTTGATGGACTCAGGGACCTCTGTGGAACCCTCTTAGCACCAACCCTTCCACAGGCTTAACTCAGGCACCCCCTTTTCTGTGAGAATCATCTGACTACCTCTGCTGCTGCCCAAGGTGCCACACTGGCCCCCACTGAGTCTCAGACCACTGTTAGCCAGCTCTGGTTCTAACACAGCCCCCAGCTAGGAATGCTACAGGGCTGGCTGCTGCTTTCCTCCCCTTACAGAGATGGGGCCAAGCCTACCTTTTGCAAACTTCCCATTCTGATTGGCCACAGCTTTGAAATGTGTATTTCTGGAAGGGATGGGAACCCTCCCTCACCTGCTCAGCTGCTCATGGCAAGTGTCCTCAAGGTGAGGCTGTTGTCTCCTTCCTCAGGCTCCTGGGAGGAGCCCATTTTCCCAGCGTGTGGGTCACCAGCAAGGACAAGGTGCCCCAGCTCCTGCACCAGGGGCAGACTGGGCTGCCCAGGTCAGCTGGTTCAGACACACGTCACGGGGGCTGAGTCACATGTGTTGGAGACGAGGAAGGAAGGAGGAAAAGCAGGGTCCACAGACAAGCAAAGGGGTGTGCTGGGCCCAGGCCGCATGTTCCCAAGTCTTCAGGACTGGCCTTCCCCTCTGTAATGACTTACCTGGAGGCAGATTTTAGCCACAGTGAGGGGGCAAATAGGAAGTCTACATTTCTGGTCCTGAGCGGACACTGGGCAGGGGTGCCCTAGCATGGCAGGGAGGTAGCCCTGCTGCAGCTACACTGGGGTTGGGGCTCAGGCCTAGGAGGATAAGATGCAGGGAGCAGGTCTAGAGACAGGTAATGCCTATGTCCCTTCACTTCTCATGAGGAGGCCTCAGGAGTCAGGTTTCTGGTTAGTTCTAGAAAGACTTGCTCCCTGGATCCTGGGAGTGACTCGTGGGGTTGATGCAAAACTTTTGAGAGTTAACAGATCTGTGAGGGAAGGGAGGCTGTGAACGGAAATTGTGTGCCCACTAGAGGGTCACTAGGGCCACCATGCAGGGCCCCAGGGTCACTTGCAGCCACTGGGCAGTCGTGACTCTATGTGCACACATAGAACCTGAGAGGGACCTGGCCATGGAGTTGGCAGCAGTGGACATCTGGGAAGGGAAGGAGGTGGTCAGCAGGCAGCAGGCAAGACCTGCTGGACTCTGAAATGAAATGGGGAACAACCTCAGAGTGTCAGAACCACCTAAAATAGGGGTGCTCAAACTATGGCCCACGGGCCACATGCAGCCCGCCAGGTGTTTTTGCCGCCGCTGCCTGTCCTGCTTAGCAGCCGATTCATCCCGGGCCCTCAGTCCGGTCCTCCAACAGTCTGAGGGACAGTGAACTGGTCCCCTGTTGAAAAATTTTGAGGACCCTTGACCTAGAGCAACTGTGGAACAGATGCCTAGGCCCTCGGAGGGTCTGATGCAGGGTGGGCCTGGGAATTTGCATTTCTGATGGTACAGGTAATACTGCTGCTGCTTGGGCAGGGCATTTGAGAACCATTGTAGCTCTAGGTCCCTGTGTGCCCGACTATTCCTGGCCCATGTGGGCAACACCACGTCCCCCTTCAAAATAGGCCGCAAAGCCTGACTTCATACCTGGCCGGCCAGCATCCCAGAACCAGGCATGGGGGTGGGGTGCTGTGCCACTTGCCTTCCCCGCTTGGCCCAGGGATAAGGGACCTCACATCTCCCATGTCATCATCTCACCTGGCGGGTCCAGCCTGGCTGCTTCTCTGTCCCTGTTGCGCCCTGGCTCTTCTTGGTGAGGGAGGTCCAGGACAAGTCGCTGGCTCTTGGTGCACACTGGGCCCACAGACTTGGGCTCCTGCTTGAACCAACACAAACCTTGTTTTCTTTCTCTCTTCTTCTTCATTTCCTCCCCTTCTCACCTTTCCTTTTCTGTAAGGTAAGCTGACTTCCTTCTTTTTTCTTTTTTTCCCAGTTCTGTGACTACACTTCTAACCATTGTGGTGGGTGTAGATATTGTGGACTGGGCCAGGCCCATCCTGACCTCCAAGGGGGCGTGTTGGGGTGATATGGTGGTCCAGCTGCTACATCAGGAGGGTCTTCAGAGCCTTGTGGCCAAAGAGGCCTCTGTTGACTCAGACGTGGCCCCAAGGCCAGAGCTGCCAGGAACAGCTCAGGAGGGAACATGAGGCTGCCACTCAAGTACTCTGAGCAGAGGGCACTGGTGCAGAGCTGAGTCCTGTTCACCAAGAGGCGTGTACATAAGGAAAGGCGAGAAGGAGGCTGAGAGCAGGGCAGGTGCCTGAGCTGAGCTTGGGACAAGCCCTCTTTGGGTGTCCAGCTGTAGCGCATGCACCCCTGGAAAAGTGGAGACCCATGGAGGGCATGACCCTCCCTCCCCTCTCCAGTGTCCAGCTCAGCTGCCCCCACTACCAACCTGGCGCCGCTCGTCCTGTGTTCCCATTGTGGGAGGGAGTCTGCGTCCTGCCTTCCTCTTGGAAGAACCTGCATGTGACCTGGAAGCCAAGTGGTACAGGGTTGGGAGGCTCCCCAGCACCCAAGGAGAAATCTCGGTGCCCTGTGGAAGCTCCAGAATCATGGAGGATAGTTGGGGAAGGGGCCTGTTCTGGGGCACGGGTCCTTGAGAAGTACTGGCCCAGCTCCCCCACAGGACACGCCAGCTGCCTTCTCAGAGCCAGACTGGGGGCTGAAGCCACCCCTGGACCATGCTCCTGGGGAAAGAGTGGCGGCAAAAGGGGTAAGATGGGGTGGGCTACAGGGGGCCCCAGGCCCATCACTCATGATGCCTCTTCTCTCCCAATGCAGCAGCCAAGAGTTTACTCAACAAGAAAGCAGATGGAGTCAAGGTGAGGTGCTTGTTTAGCCTTGGGGCGCCCATGAGGCCTAGAGCCTGCAACTCTGCCCCTGGCCCCTGCAGCTCTCCTCGCAGCCACTGAGGCTCCTGCTCTGGAGGGTTCCCTCCCTCCATACCCAGCAGACATGGGGAAGGGGAGTGGTGTGCCACTTCTCCCACCTAAGGGCTCCTCTTCCCTCTCTCCACAGCCCCAGACGAATAGCACCAAAAACAGTGCAGCCGTCACCAGCCCTAAAGGGACGCTTCCTCCTGCCGCCCTGGTACTGAGCTCTGCAGCCCCTTCCTCTCAGCCTCTCCTGCACCCCCAGTTGTGAGGGGGTTCAGGGGGAAGGTGGGGTCTGGCCCTACCTGGCCTGTCTCTGGCAGCACATGCCTGGCTCCCAGCCCCTCACCCCTTACTGCACTGACGGTAGTGGAGTGGAGGGTTTGGCACCCCCAGAGGAGAAAGGAGCCTTAGGTTCAGACAGGTGCAGAGGCAGCTTGGGGAGTCCCTCATTGGTGCCAGCGATGTTTGGGTACAGGAAAGAGACCCAGCCTCACCTGCACTGACTTGTGGGTGCCTCCCCAGGAGGCCTTCAGGAGGTTGGTGAGGTGGAGGACACCCCTAACCACCAGGGACCGTCCCCTCTTCTGCCACCTTCAGTGGGCTGAACCAGAGCTCACAGCCAGGGTATGGCTCTGAGTGGGCTGGGCCAGGCTGTGCAAGGGGGGCAGCCCTGAGTGGCACATCTCACGTCCCATGGGGAAACAGGGCTCCAGTGTTATGGTGGGGAGGTGTCTGGGCCAGTGGCAGCAGGGTAGGCTTGCTGTCAGTGACTTTCCGTAGGAGCCAGCATACTTTGTGGCTGCCTGAGGGGCTCCCTGCTGGGAGGGTGGGCTGCCCATGACATTCCTGCTGTGCCTTCACTGCCTCTCAAAAGGGTGCCCAACCAGCTCTGGCCCCCTTGCTCTGGGGTGGCTCCTTTACAGGTGAACCACACCATAGTGCTCCCAACGGATGTGGGAGTTGTGGGCTGTGAGTACTAGCCACTGTGTTGTGCCCATTACAGGATAGCTATCCCAAGCTGTCCTAAAAGGTTTGAGGCTTGCTGGCCTACAGGTTCCTGAGTCTGCATTTTTGGTGTCCCCCAAATGTCCCAGACTCAGCTCTGGGAGCCGTCCCAGGGTGCCCATGGGAAGGCTGAGTTTGCCAAATGGGCACCCCCTAGCCCCAGGAGAGGAGAGCTTCCCATGAAGGGAGCTGTTCAGAGTGGCTGGGCCGTGGCCGGAGGGTAACCTGGTGCCAGCCCACACGCCAGCCTCACAGCCAGCCCCGTCTCAGACTCCGTCCATCCCATGTACCACCCTCACCCCCATGACATCTTCAAACCTGTGACTCCCCTGCTGGAACAGAGGGTCAGGCAGCAGAGGACAGGGGAGAACTCCCCAAGGCAGAGCCTGGCTTTTCCAGCACCCACACACATTCTGCAGCTTCTTAGGGCCTGTGTTGCCCATCGCCCCGCTGGACAGCAGCCCCTCCTCTGGCCTGCTCCATTCCCACCGCTCCACTGCCTCCATGCCTGTCCCACTCTGCTCTGCACTCTCCTCTCTCGCAGGCTCTGGCCGCCACCCCACCTCTGTCTCCCCTGTTCCCCTCCTGGTGGTCTCTGCTCCCTTCTCTTCTCACTTTCCTTCTCTTTCCTTCCTCTGTGTCTTCCTTCTTCTGTAGGAACCTCAAACCACCGTCATCCATAACCCAGTGGACGGGATTAAGGTACTGGCGCCTCTTTTCCTCCTCACACTGTCCTTAGGCAAGAGGCACCGGGGCCCAGGAGAGGGGTCTGGGGTGCTGTCCTGGGGCAGCATTTGTGCCATGAGAGGCTCTCGTCACCTCTCCCCAAGGCAGGGCAGAGCTGCCCAGCCCCTGTGTGGGCCATGACAAGGCAAATGGTTCAGCCCCCAGGTGCTCAGGCCAGGACTCCAAGTGGCAGACCAGGGCTCCCTGATATATGGAGCGAGGTCCACTCCTTGGGGACCAGGCCCTTGCCCCTCCTGGCTGTGCCCTCCCTTCCATCCCTAGCGCTTCCTGCTGAGCGGCCCCCCCTCTCTGCTCCCTCTCTGCTCTGGCCATCAGCTCCCATCACATTGGCATCATCACCTGGGCCGGGGAAGGGGCTGGCTCTCGGGTGGTGGGAGGGAGGGGGAGGTGACCAAGCCCTTGCAGGACTGCTAGACAGCACTGCCCCCCAGCACAGCCCTGGAACCGGGGCCCTGCCTAGACATGGGCTCCTTTCAGAGCCCCCAGGGTGCCTCGGTGGGATCTCTACTTCCTTCTGGCTAGTGCCACTGCCCAGCCCATGGTCAGTATCTTTCTCAGGGGGAAAAGGGCAGGGACTGGGGGTCCAAGGGGATGCTATGCAGCCAAGAGACCTGGGCATGGCCCCCACCTAGCAGCTGGGGATGGGTGTCCCTGACACCTGTGTGTATCTGGGATGGCTTCACCTTCTCCTCCCTGTGGGGGTCCCTAAACAACCTTCTGGGCTTTGGTGAACCCTCACCTAGGTCTAGGGCCCAGAGCAGGGTGTCCTGGCAGTGTCCAGATCAGGTGCTAGTCCCCTGAGGACCTTTTAAGATGTTTCTTCTGCAGACCAGAGCAGGCCTCCTGGTGACTTGGTGACAAATGGGTGCTCTTTTGATCTGAAGGCAGCAGCCCTTGAACAGGGGGAGGGTGAGGGCCACCTTGCCCTCTAAGGCCACCTAGGAGGTGAGATGGGGGCCTGGCTGGACATCTAGCCTGAGGGACAGGTGACCCTTGTGGGGTCTCATCTCTTCTGGAGAGGATGTGTGCAGCAGTGGTGCCCTGCCTGAAGCCAGACCATGGTTCTTGGAGCCTAACGGGGACATATAGACCTACTGGAAGCCACTGAACTATCTTGGGAGTATGCTAGCTGCTCCTGCCTCTTTGGGAGCCAGCCAAATCCCGTGTGTTAGAGTTTTAAAAAGCCTGGTTTCTTCTCTTATTAAAGACAGTCCACTGCGCAGACCAGTCTTCCTGCCAGGTGTGTCTTGTTGGGAGAAGTTGAGGCCCTCATGTGCCGGGGATGTGGGGCAGCAGGGCCAGCTTCTGCCCCCTGGTGAAACTGTGCTGCCTGCCGTGTGGGGGGCGCCTGGTGGGGATGTCCTCCTGGGATCCACACAGGGCAGCTCTAAGGTCCCTGCTGTATGTGGGTGTCCAGGGCTAAGGCCTTGCAGGAGGACTTGTCCCCATAGGCCTTGGCCCTGTTGACGGAGCAGGGAGGAGACCTGTCCCAGAGCCTGAACTGGCCCCCCACAGCCCCACTGCCTACCCACCTCGGCTGCATTCCACCTGGCCTCAGTCACATCATGACCCACTTCTACCCTATGTTTCCTCAGGAGTCTTCTGACAGTGCCAACACTACCATAGAGGACGAGGATGCTAAAGGTACCTGCACTCAAGTCCTTGCTCCCTGAGTGGCCTCAGCAATGCCGGCTGCTTTTTTTGAGGCGGGTGGGACTTCAGCTGGGTCAGCTGTGCTACGACACGGAGGGTGTGTGTGCATGGGCTCAGAGGCCCTGAGCCTGGGTGTCGGGCCTGCCCAATGTGGGTGGTGTGGTGGAGACGACCAGCAGCCAGGCAGTCTCTTGGCCTTGAGTTGGGGCTGGCTCTTCACCCCAGGACCAGCACTCGCTCCAGGAATCTAGGAGCTCTGTTCCCATGGGAGAAGAGTTTGTGGGTAGAATTTGCTCAACGACATTGTTGGTTTTCTCTTAAAGTTCCTTAAGCTTGCGATTCCATCCTGCTTACACTTGTCGCGAGGCCGGGCAGCTGTGGGGCTATTCCCGTGTTTGCCTTTGCTGACCCAGGAGCTGCTTCCTGCAGTGGTTTCTCTGCCACATGCCAGCTTCAGGGGCTGGAACCCCATGCTGAGCCAGACTGGTGTCCTTCATGTTCCCTCAGAAGACCCCAGGGCACTGGGGCATGCACCCCCAGGATGTGATCTGCTGCCTCGAGGGTGTCCATATGGGGTCCCCAGCCTTCACTGGTCATGTGGTCACATAGGCACACCTGTCAGGGCCTCTCCTGGGGCCTGATGGGCTCAGTCATTCTTCCACTTTGGGGAAGAAGAAAACTCACTAACCCAAAAGCTGGTCCACCACCTAGCTCCTGCCCACCCTACCCAGCTATGACACTGTCCCTGAGCATCCCCTGTGCGCTGGAGCAGAGGACTTTAGGCCTTGGACACCAGAGAGTTTAGGTTTGCATGACTCCCCCACAGACTGAAATAAGCCCTAAGGCCAATGGCACAGAGGCTGTCCAGGCATCCTCCTTGTGAGGTTCTGCCCTTGCCCTTGGGCTAGAAGCTCTGAGCAGTGAGAGAGGGGTCCTGGGAGTTTGCTGGGCCTGGATCCTGCAGTGGAAAAGAAGCTGAGGCCTTAGCAGCCCCGCAAGGTGGGGGCAGGCACCCCCGTAATGCAGAGGGAAGCACGGCCAGGCTTTCCTGGGGCTAGTGCAGAGTCAGGGCAGGACTGAGAGCCATCGTGGCCCTACAGTGACCATTACTCCTTCTCCCTGGACCTAGCCTCTGCTGCCTGTGGCTAGGTGGCCACATCATGCAGCCCTGCTGGCCCCAGCAGGTGACCCTGGAGGCACAGCCCCTGTGTTGACTCCCTTAGCCTTCATCAGTGTTCTGTGGCCATCCCAGGCCCTAGACACTCACAGGGCCCAGACACTCACCTCTATCTCCATCCTCACAGGCCCTGGCTGTGCTATGGGGTCCTCTAACTGTAACCTTCCTCCTCTCTCTCGGGTCCTTGGTCTGTCTCCTCTTGTCATCTTCTCTTCCTGTGTGGGCTTCCTGCCTACCACCTGCTCATCTGTTCCACCCCAGCGCCCAGGGTCCCTGACATCCTGAGCTTGGTGAGGAGGGGTTCAGGAGCCCCAGAAGCTGAGGGGCCCCTGCCCTGCCCACCTCTAGCTCCCATTAACCCGCTGTCAGCCCCATGTAAGTAGCTGGGGCCCTGCTGATATAGGGGTCACTTTGAAGGGCAGGCTGAGCATGGACTCATGGCCGTGGCCCCATCCCTCACAGGCCCACGCTGGGTCTCCTTGAGGCTGCCTCTGCCCAGTAACCCCCACCCTGGGCAAGCCTTGACCAGATGCCACCACTGGCCCATGGGGAGACCATCCAGGCAGGGCAAGTCTTGGGCCACACTCCTGCTTCAGGCCACTGGATAGTACAGGAGGCCCCAGAGGCTCAGGCCTCACTGCATCTCAGCTCCAAGGACTTCTTGCTGCTGAGACAGGCCCCAGTCCCAAGCCTGACCCCAAGATCTGTGGGAAGAGAACAGGGGACCCTCCTCCCTCCCTCCCTGCTCTCTGCTCTGCACTTCCTCATTCATCTGTCTGCCTTGTGTTCATGTCTTATCTGTTCCGCCCCAGCGTCCAGGATCTCTGACATCCTGAACTTGGTGAAAAGGGGCTCAGGGACTCCAGAAGCCGAGGGCCCCCTATCAGCGGGGCCCCCGCCCTGCCTGTCTCCAGCTCTCCTAGGCCCCCTGCCTGCCCCGTGTAAGTAGTGGCCCTGGGCCTGCTGCCTCCACTGTGGGAGGACTTGCTGTGAATGGGCACTCAGCGGCTTCTGCCTGCCTGCACGGCCCAGCTCCCCAAGGGTGGCCAGAAGCCTGGCGTCCTTCTCTGATGTCCTACCCTGGCTGGGCTTCTGGCGGGGTCACGCTAACTCAGCAGGGCAGCTGCCTGGCTTACCCCCTCCCCCCAGAGGTCCAGCACTTCCACTCCCTGCTCCCTTTTCCATCCAGCCCCTGACCTCTGCCTGCAGAGCCTGTCCCACACACGGGCAACGCCTGGACCCTCTGTTAGCCTCCTCAGCTTATCTCTGCTGAGACACTCATGCCCAGCCCAGTGCCCTGTCCACACAGCCCAGGAGGCTGCCCTCCAGGCTGCCCCATCCTGATATAAGCCAGGCCCTGAGTTCCCTTCCTCAGTCAAGCAGGTGAGGAAGGTGCCAGAACTGGACCCCCAGCTAGGGCCTTAGAACTCATGGACAAGGGGATATTACAGACAGAAGCCAGCCTGGTCTCTGCTGACCTCAGATGTTCATGTGAGGAGCCTGATCCTGACCTGTGCAGTCTGCCACTCCTCCCATCACTCATCCACCTTCCCCACTTCCCAAGGGCAGTTTCCCTGATGCCATCTCAGCAGCCAGGGTGCCTCTCCCCCAAGGGAGCCTCTGCCCATAGCACCTGCAGCCACGCCACCCACCCCAGAGCACCTGCCCGTCATTCCTAAGGCCTCTTCCCCATGACCCCTTTGTCCCTATGCTTACCTCTGTCTCCCCATATCCTCCTCTGTTTCCATGGCTCATCTGTCCCCAACATTTCCCTCTATCCCCTATAGCCCCCTCTGTCTCCCACAGCCCCCTCTGACCCCATCATCACCCTCTGTCTCCCACAGCCCCCTCTGACCCCATCATCACCCTCTGTCTCCCACAGCC